ACGGGATTTCGAAAATTAGGTTATTTGGAGCCTATTAAAGGAGCCTTTTTCAGAGATTTTTGAGGAGAGGCAACAAGCAACTATTCTAGAGATTTGGAGCCAAGAACAAAGCAAAGAAACAAGAGAATTAGAGAGAGAATCAAGATCACAAATCTCTAACTATTAGTTTTCATCTCTTACCTTTGTGTTTTCTTATTTTCTTTGACTTGGATTCATGGCTAATTCTTTTGGATATTGTTTTTATTAGATACTATGAACTAAATTATTTTTCTAGGATTGCAATTGAACTCACATGTAATCTAATTTTAATCTCTTTCTTGCTTATTTTCAATGGATTTAAATTGTTTATTCCAATTTGTTCTTAATGCTTTTAATTGCTTGGCCACCAATTAAATTGATCTAGAAACCTAAATCAACTTGGAAAGGGAGTTTAGTGTAGACTAAAATTAGGATAGCATAATGATCATATTAATTGATTTGCGTATAGGATAGGGATATACCTATAGGCCATATGTAGCCAGATTAGAGCCTGAACTGAATGAATCTATTTTAATTTCAATTCACATAGGGATATAGTATTTTAGTTAAAATAGATATTTTTATAAGATGAGTGGGGAGATCCCTTATAAATAATTTAGGACTCTAGGTTAGCAATTTAACCATTGAAATAAATTAAGAAAGAGAGGTAGAGATTTAGATGAAGCGTGAGGGTATTGTAATCCTAGGCTTGTTTGATTTGCTTTTGCTCAATTATCTTATTGCTTTAATTTGTAATCAAATTAGTTTTAGTTGCATAATTTTTAGTTCAATTAGAATTAAGATTTTAATTGTTTGAATAAAACTAAATTGTTTTAATTTTAGTACTTAATAAAATTTTAGATCAATTCCTTGTGAAATCGATACTCTGCTTGCTAATATACTATCTATTCGATATGTATACTTGCGTAGTAGAATTTTAACTGACAGTCACACATTTCATTTTCTCTGTGTGACAATGAATGCAGAATGAGTTAAATTGAGAATGGTAAGTGGGAGATGTTGCATTTAAATGTGGTGTATCCACATAGCATGCAACTTTGTTAATTATTTTTGGATAATTAGCAAATATTCAATTAATTAATGTTGGATATTATTTTGATATTTCTTAATTGAATAATTAAAAAAAATGTTTGAGATAAGATATAAATTTAAATTTAATTTATTTAAATTTAAATAAAAATTATCTATTCATTATGTTTAAATTTAAATAAAGATTAATTACATCTAAATTTAATTTGTTTAAATTTAAAAGTAATATCCTGTCTCTATATCTCTAATATGTCTAATAATAATAAACAAACATATTGGTTTTTACACACAATTAAGAGTAAACGTGAGTTATTCTATAAGTCAGAAAAATTAAAAACTTTTTTTATTTTTTTCTCTTTACTCTTAAGATAGCATCAAAAGCCAAAGGGTTTTGAAATATGTAATTCCTTGTGGAGGACTCTAGTAGTTGCTTCATGACAATAAGAGTGAAGAGATCATTGTGTGGATGAAGGAAAATTTATAAAGCAAGCTTCTTCCATCAAAAAATGAGTGGAATATTTATTTGTAAAGTGAGTCCACCTCCCAACAACTCTCAAGTCTCCTCTCGTCTAAGCTTGTCACGCAAGGCGCCACGCATACATTTGCCACAAAATTAAATTTTTAGATATAATTGTTGTTGTTAACTTTTTTTAATATATTCAAATCCAATTAAATGTAAATACTTTTAACAACAATTTGTCATATTTATAATTTATAACTAAATTGACATTCAAAATAAGAAATATATATAAATCACAGAGTCATATTTTAAGTCATCTGATATTTATCATGTTTAATTAAATTGAAATTCACAATGAGAAAAAATGTAAACACAATCATAAAGTCTTTGTAGTAAGTCATCTGATTCAAACCGATTCAAGCAGTGGTTTTGGATTCACCTTGGATAAGATTGGAGCATTTGCTTTAAGAGTCCACTGGTGTCCATGTTGTTCTGATCTGGGCTAAGGGGTCTCCAGGGTTGGGTCAACTTTTGACATGTCTAAGATTTCAAAAACGACAAGCAAACATAAATTCAAGTTTCATCCGAAGTACGTACTGGGTGACCTGAGGCAGATATATTCACATCTACGTCCAAATCAGCAGTGCGATTCAGCACCAATTCTAGAGAAGAG